AGTGGCAGCAGGTACCTGTCTACCTGCATGCGCTAGACAAAAGGGAGGTAGCCCGATACGAGTTGGCAGGTACCGGGCAGATGGGTGGTAGCGATGGGAGCAGTAGTGTATTCGAGTAGGGGAGAGGGCCAGAGACGCCATCCCATCATAGGTACTTTGCTGGTGCTTGTTGTGTGTTGGGCTGGTGCCGTATGCAGCACCATCGTGTGCCGAATCCCCGCCTCCCACCATCGGGCTCCATCCAAAGTAGACCACATCTGACTGTCCGTCTGCTGGGCGGGCTGGTGCCGGGAGCTCTCCTATACATGTACATCCTGGCAACGAGCAAGGCACGTCGTAGACAAAGCAGAGGGAGAAAAAGAAAGCAAGAAAAGAAAGTGAGACACTGCCTCCCCTCCACAGCTGTGTCCGGGAACAGCCGCGACATTGCTGGGCCTTATTGCGGACATCCAGATCTGGAAAGCCTGATGTGGATGTGGGCACTTGGAGACGTTTCCCAACCATTACGAGAGCGGACAAGCCTTCGATCCCCTTTAGGTCTGGAATTTCCACCCTTCTGACGATTGACATCTGCACCTCCGGGCATCATACTTTCTCGGCTCTGCATGTTCGAGGTGGATCGCGCCCGGTGGCTTTTCGACTCTGGTCTCAGTAACTTCCGGCCCTGGCCCCGTTCCTCAGCCACCAGATACGGCTATCTTGCTCCCAAAGGGCTGCCTCGACCACTCGGCTGGGCTAATCTACCTACCTACCATAGCATCCATCCATCTCTACGCTGCTTCACCACCTTCGCCGTACTCTCACTTCCACATCCTCTTTCCCTTCTACTCTCACCTTTTCTGTATCTCCTGCCCCTTCGCTCCTTCTTTTCTCCCAGATCTGCTCTCATCCCAATCCCTTTACTTGGTCCTCTTCAGCTGTAAGTGGGATGGGCGTGAAGATCTGATGCTTTGGTACTGTCCGCCTGTACACTTTTGCCGTACACGATATCCTCGCCCCTCTGGCGCCTTGTTCTACTGAAAATACACACCTCTGGAGGAGCTTCTGCGACTAGAGAAAGTATATACTGGACGCTTCGTGTTTGTGTGTGTTATTTTTTTTTTTGCTTTCTACCGGTCGTATACGTGCTGCCTGGCGACCGCGTTTCCTTTAAGTTCGAAGCGTCCTTCCCAAGTCCCAAGAAACCGGGCGATCCTCGAGCAAGAACCACAAAGTCAACAACCATAGCTTGCGAGTTAATGTTTTGGCCTGCGGGACTCGCTGCAGCTGGTTGATTTTCGCCCCTTCTGACCTCGACAATATCTTGGGCATTGCCCTTCTCTCCCTTTTACCAACTTGGACATTCCTCCTTCGCGCCTACTTAAAGCAGGGCCTTCCCTCGCTTCATCCACACTTGGAGTCCGCAAACGGCATAGCACCCAGCCAGCCGTACTTGCCTGGCGACCTGCCAGACATCCTTCCTACTTACCTCCACTGACGTCCCCTCCAATCTCTCCCATCATCAAACCACAAAAGAGCCTTTGCAACAGCTCAGATCTTGAACTCACATCCCCATCTCGCAAATTCCGCGTGGAATAATCAACAGCGTTTACAACGCTCCGTTAGACCTAGTATCTTCCCCTTTCCTGAAAAGATCAAACCCAATCGTCTTCCCCGTCCTTCATCTATCTTCATACTCTCGCTCGGTCCAAAGGTTAACCTTGTGCCTGCGCACCTTATTGTTTGGCCATGTCGAGCCAAGCAAGCCCTCTCGAGCCTACTTATTTTGGCCACATCTCCACCACCAAAGATGCCTTGATCCTCATGGAGGCATGCCTCGATGGTCAGCTCTCCCATGTCCCACGCCGTCCCCATGATAGAGAGAGACAGGACCTCATCCGAAGCGGGTACGTCTTCATTTACGAGGAGCACTCCTCAGGAATCAAACGCTGGACCGACGGCGTCTCCTGGAGCCCCAGTCGCATCCTCAACAACTTTCTCATCTACCGCGAGCTGGAGAAGCCCTTCCCCCCTGGCGAGAAGAAACGAGCTCTCAAGCGCCCACAGAAGAAGTCCTCCAATGGCGGCATCTCCAAGGCTCAAGGGCAGAGCCCCCCCGACCTCTCCTCCGCCGCGTTCTCGACCACCACGAGCCACGTCAATGTAAACAATCTCAAGGATCCCGAGCGAGCCCTCATTGGCTCCCTGATTGATTCCTACCCATTCAAGGAGGGTGGCCTTATCAAGAAGACCATCAGTATCACTTACCGTGGAGTTACTCACCACCTTGTTAGCTACTACAGTGTCGAAGATGTGCAGGAGAACCGACTTCAAACCCCTTCCCGGGATCCAGCTCTCCGCCACATCATTCCTCGCCATGAGATCTGCTCATCGCAGAACTTCCGTGCCCCCCTCGAGGAGATCGAGTATACCACTGATGGTTATATTGGAATTAATGGTTACATTGCAACCCCCATCCCCCATGGCTTCGAAGCACCCGGGGTCATGCCTCACCCCATGAGCAACCTTTCCTACCCTCCGGGTGCTCCTGCATATGCGGTTTCGGCACCGGCTCCGCTGTCAAACATAGCATCTTATCATTCTCGCGGTCCTTCTGACTACGGGACCCAGCACTCAGCACCAACGACTTCCTCCATGTACGGGTTCCCATCTAATGTCTTCCCCGGCTATATTGAAAATGGTGTCAGCCCTAGCCCACTTCACCCAGGGCCCGTCACAGGCCAAACATCTCCTGGTCACTATCATCTGGAAGGCGGTAGAAGCCGATTCGCATCAACTGCCGGCATTATGCAAGAGTCTCCCCGCCATATTCCTGCCCAAGAGATCCCTCGCCGACACTCAACAATTGAAGCGGGCCAGAGCGCCGATATGGACGCTTTCTCTCTGAGCTCAGTCCCCGAAGGCCGAAGCGGAGCCATGAACAACTACCTCTCAACGCATTCATTCATGAGCCCAATCCAAGGTAACGGTGTTTCGGAGCACGGCACTACCTTCCCGTCACCTCCCGCCACCGGGCATTCGCATCAGCATGCGGGCATGGGTCTTACACAGCCCAAGGCAGAGCCAGACACTCTGGCCAACGGTTTACCAGCATCTCAGTCATTCACTCTGGACAACAGCTGGAATAACATCGAGGGGTTGGATGATACTCAAGAAGATTTCCCCCAGCACTACTTCAAGGGAAGCTTCCCCCCTAATGATCACTACTCAGAAGGTCACTAGCCTGCTGATCTAAGGTCTGGGCATATTTGGGCTGGCGTTTTGTTCTATTGGTGGTCTCTCATGCCCTAAACAGGCGTTTATGGTTTTTTTTCCGGGTGTTTTTCTTAATATTGGATACGGTCTTGCAGGTGTTACACGATTGACGGGTGATATCGGCTGGCTTCTTTGTTTAAGGTTGGACCAGTCAACCTGTTGATGATTGGCGTTCTGGATTGGTAGACGGAGGGAACAGTCTATCTCGATTATTGGTTCGGTTTCACTAGGGTCAAGTGAAGGGTCAAAAAGTCATCATCCTTGCTGCTTACTGGGGCACGCAGCAGGGGTGTCTTTTCTTTTCTTTCCCGTCTGATGCTCGTGTAGGTCGCGATTATTATTACTTGGAGTTTTCGAGTTTGGGTGTTCTGCTATTAGTCTTTTATTGTTTTTTTTTTAGTCTTGGTTTTTTCCGAGACTCAATTCGTAATTCTAGTTGCAATACACGGGCTTATTATTATCTCTCTTTGCTCTTGCTAACTGTGATTCCCATGGTGCGTATAGACGTAGTAGCATACACTGGTTGACTGGCAACATGAATGTGGTGTTGGACCCCCAGCCTAGCCTCAGAGAATGCGTATTACCCCGCCAGACTGAATGAGCTGCCTGCAGACGTAGGGCGGGTCCGCAATATTTAGTATCCCCACCACACTTCGTCTGACAGAATAGAGTGGATGCGGCGACTGGCATGAATGCGACGACGGCACTTGAGACCTCCTCTCTGGGTTCAGAGTACGAGCACCGGCAGATAGCCTCGTCTGTGCTGCTTCCGGCCCTCACTGGACGCCTGCTCAGCAAGCGTCCACACACGTGGTAGAGGGAGCCCAACAAGCCATCCGTCTCGCAATGAGTGATATCGTATCTGCGGGCGTCAATTGACCATGCTCCCCCGCGTACTGGCCAGTACCTGGACAACGCCATTCTCATGATCCATCACCCCTCTCGATCAATCTTGCATTAGAGAGCAAACGGGCAGTGGCTTGGGTCTAGGGCGGCCCACAGAATGACAGGCCAAGCCCTAGCCTCGATGACTCTCCAGCCCTCCCAAGAGACAATCACCAACCTGGGACCTCCAATGCCTCGCGTGATTGGCCAATTGGGTCGGGAGCGGCAGGCGGCGGCAAGCCAAGGTCCATCCTCTACGGGCCTAGGGCTTGGGAGAGTCGCATTTCAGACATGGGAGAAGAACGAAAGCGGGGGCCCGGACGCGGCCAGGCGCATTTTTTACGCACAGCCAATGAGCCGCGACCCAAAAGATATGCTGGGCAGCCCCATTCTTCCTATCTCTCGCCTTTTATTCGCTGGGCTGGCTGGGGCACCCTCGTCTCTGGCACCTTGGTCCGGCGTTCCGCCCGAGGAGCGATGGGTCTTGGCGTTGCACCAGCTCGATGAGCTAAAAGGGGACGACCTCATGTGACTGCGAGGTGTAATCGAAAGCTCACATGTCACGGGAAGAGCGCAGATGGGTTAACTGGGTGCGCGAGGAATGGGAGAAGAGAGGTAGTACTGTAGTAGGCTGGGCTGGGCTGGGCTGGTGTCATCCATCTTGCGATTCCGTTGCCCCTCACTTCTGCCCCCTCTTTTCTCTCTTCTCTCTTTCTCTACCTATCTTGGTGTTGTCATTACATACTAGGGTATACAAGTTTTCTCGCTCCAAAAGCTCGTGATAATTCCCCCCCTCTAAAGCAACGTCGTACATGCGGGCTCTGCTACTACTCTAATTCCAGGCAGCAGTCAATGTTTTTTTACGAATCGGCGTAAAACCATGGCTCCTCATTCGGCCCGTACAATCGACCCGGGACTAGCATTGGCATTGGCACTGTAGATGCGAACAATTCTCCTAAGTTGCTGCTGCCTCTGCTGCCCGCCTCGGTCCCAGCAGAACTAGTTGCCACCGCCGAAGCTCCCTTGGTGGTAGGCCGCGCCTTGCCGTTGGCCTCTAGCACGGGCACGACTACTCCGCACTCCCAGTTCCGACAGTTCAGCTTCGGTTTGCCGGTCTTGCTGTCCTTGACTAGGCGGCCCCTGTTTTTGAATGGTTAGCCTATCCATTTTCTCTGGCCCCCCCCCCCTTCTACTCTATCCCACTTCCCTTCCGGGGATGGAGGGAAAAGCTGTAGAGGGCTGTAGAGGCTTTTTTGCGCCTCTCGTTGCTGTTGTCCAGCTCTCTCTCCACCCCCTTCCGACGAAAGGAGTCTAACTTACCAGGCGCTCTCGGAGAGGTTGGCGCTACCCACATAAGCCCAGGCGCTAGCCTTGTGGCTGGGTGCGTCGGCGACCTCCGCCGCGTGGACGAAGATGGCCTTGGTGTGCAGGAGAAGCCCCTTCCGAGAGCTGACACAGTCGCGAACCAGGTCTGTGGGGAACCTGGGCTGGCGCCACCACTTGGCCTGAACGCAGATCGTCCCCGCCGCCTATCGAGGAACGGCGATAGAGCACTTGGTTAGCAGACCCAAACACCACTTGCGTAGTTCAAGGAGGGGAGGGGGGAAGGGGATAGTAGGTGGGAAGAGAGGACTAGGCTGGGCTTTGCTGTCCTGGACTCGATGCGAGATGGTGTGATGAGACCGAGGGCATTACTTACCCCTCTTCCGCCACGGGTGTTGACGACAGTGGCCTCTGTCGGGAAGTAGATACGAAAATGGTCCCTCAACAGCTGCGGCGTGGAATGCGATGCTCCTGCTGGCTTCCGGGTACCTCTGGCGTTGTATTCCTTCATGCCATTATCTCCTGTTCGGCGAGGAACGGAGAGGCGAATTCGTCAGCGCAAACGCGTCCTTGGAGTTTTTGCGTACGTATTTGGCCGCGACAAAGGGACCGTGGCTTACCTTGGCAGGCGTTGTAGATTGATGTGATTAGGTCGCTCGTGAGGGACCCAAGTGAGGCGCTCTGGCAAGTACCGACATTAGCGGGTACCTGCACAATGACATGGTGCTCAGGGGTGGACGTACAACACTGTCGACCTCGATCGGAGATGTGGTAGCGAGCCCAAGGCTGGACACCACATTGCCGAGGCCACAATACCCTAAATTAGTTCTCAGCAAGGCCGCCACCGCCATGCCATAGGTCCCCTCTGATGGAGGGGGGCACAAGCCACTCACCTGTCCGCCTGCGCAAATCGTTGGTATGTGATCCGGGACTATTTTTCAGCCACAGCCAAATGGATGTCAGCTGCTGTGGATAGGCTTATGGTTATGGGGTGACATTTTTCAGCCTCGTGTGACGTACATAGAGTAAACAAACCCAAGCCTCTCGGTCCGTGAGAAGTCGTAGCTGGTGAGGCTGTCGACCATCCTGTCGTCGACCTTGGCCTCGGTCAGAAATCTCGCTAGCTCCGTGCTGAACTGGGTGGGTTTGTGGTCGGCGGCATCGCCTAGGCGAGGAAGATCGATCAAGAACACCATCTAGGTCGCGAGGGAAATGGTTAGCCAGGACTTGACGTCAATCCGGCCCTAATGGGCATGTCTAGATTTCCCGCCTACATTCTCCATTACGCCCGTCTCCCCCCAATCGTAAGGGACCAGATTGCCGGTAGGGACGACAATCCGAAGCTGGTCGGGGTACTTGAGAAGCTGCAACTTGGAGTGCATGGCACCAGGGCCATTCATTGGCGGGAAGCAGAAGCGGACATTAGGGGGTGCATTGGCCTGCATCTCTTGTTGCTACAGATTTCTACGTTAGTCGATGCGACGCCTAGATGAAGGTCACGATGGGGGTAGACCGAGAATACGAGTGTCTAGAATCAGGATGTGTTCTTACTTGGGTCTCGTTTGTGGCGAATGCAAGTAGGAGTAGTTTGGTCCTTCTGAGATCTACCTTGGAGAGCATCCATTCCTCGTCCCATTGGAAAGAGGATATGAGTGCGAGTTCCAGTTTTTCTTTCTGGAACACCTCCTCGATTTTGATATCATCAGAGGCCCGCGGGTGGCCCCTTGCCCATGTCCTCTTGACAACACCATCGGGGAAATAGTTACTTGACGCCGGCTGTGCGGATGAAGAGGCCGACACAGGGGCGGCTTTGGGGGCTTTGGGGGTGCTGGTTCCTGTAGATTTCATCTTCTTGGGGGGTGGCACTTCGATGACATCGTCGCCATCGTCAGGGGTCGTCTCCTGGTCCGGACGGGGTCGCTTTGCAGCTAATCTCTGTAGCCGCGCCTCTTCCATTGCCTTTCTGTCTAGTAGGCGTAGCGAGAAGTTTCCTGCAGCTTGTGGCCCGTGGTCGGGTTGTGACTCCTCTGGCTTGGCGGGCTCGGGAGACTCCTTTTCAGGTTCCTGCAACGATAGGGCAATGGCATATCGGAGGGCCTCGTCATCGTCCATATCGTCAGGCTGGACCGCCGAGCCGCTTCCCGCCCCAGACATCGTAGGTTGAAGTTTGGATAGCTAGCGCGGCAAATCTCGTGAGCAAAATAAGGTATGCCAGGCACAGATTAGCAGATCTGCACAGCCTTGAAGCTCGGATCTGCGTGAACGATTGAACGACGCGCTTCTTGCCAGGTACATGCGATCTGCGCTACGCGAACTCACGTGACCGTAAGTGAAGTTTCATTACTCGTAACCACACCCAAAGAGAAAGCTTAAATCTCATAAATGACTAATGTGGTCATTCGGGAACGCTTAAATGACCACCTAAGTTTTTCATTCCCCGATTCCGACATTGCCTGTGGTTGGTATTGGATGTGCCAAGCTTCTCTATCCACCTCAAGTCGACGAATTGCATAAAACTTGCATAAAATTTGCCACCGACGTTGCCTGCAGACCCTTGTCGTCGAAGGCTAGGAGCGAATTGACTGTGCGCCTCGGCCAACGCAAGGGGAAACTTTCCTCGAAGGGCGAACCAATGGTCCAAGAAACTAGAGATCTAGACCTCTGTGAACCGGACAGTAAGGTGATCCACTAAGCTAATGCGGGTCCCCTGAGAAGCTGGATTAAGTCTGTGCAGAGCGTGTTCGTGTGAGCCTCAGAAGTTGAGGTGGATGTGGGTGGTGAGAAACTCTGAAAGTGTGGGTGAGAGGTGGATCAAAACTCCATGACTGAAGAGGAGCCACTAGACGGAGTGATGAGTATGGTCCTCCTGTTGCAGATTGCTAGCGCGTTCTTGAGAAGGATGCGGGATATGATCAATATTCGTACAGGCGTACGAGCCAGCCCATAGACCGTTGTGCGAAGGATGGGCTCCTTTTCATCGGATTGAAACTACTTCTGAACTTCTGGTGTTAATCGTGGTCATCTTGTCGCAGTGGTTTCTCGGGGACAAGGAATTCAGGGAAGCACTCCGATGCATCAAACATCATCATGAATTTCTTTCCTCTGACTATTACGATGATGCTCTGTTGTCTTGATATTGGGTACAAGTCGGACACGACTACCTTGTTCATGGCTCGCAGATGAATCATCGCTATCTAAGCTTTTGCATTTCCACATAGTATTTATCACGAAAACCGGGAGGAGCCATGGGAGGATTTCCGTAAAGGGGTAGATCTTGGCCGTAGTACGAATGTTCCCATCTTCATTGCGTGGGGGAGCTGAGCCAAAAGCATCAAGCGAGTCTAGCACACGTTTTTCAGAACCACTCTCGTAATATATAGTATATAAAAGATTGCTCTATCATTATTATGATGATTGAAGTCATTTACGGAATGCCAGGGTCGTGCCTCAAATGGCCATATGCTGAGCTCAGTGTAGTGCATACCATGTTCAGTGTCACCCACTTGGCCCGGGCGAGGAAACCATCACTGCTTAGGCTAAATTGAGAGACGAAATTTGTCAAATTTGGATTCAAGGAATCAAGTTTTGCTTATTGCTATGGAAAGAGTCCTTTACCCTCTGGTGCCTACAACTCGACCTCTACTGTAAGACTCTTAGACAAGGCGGAGTGCCATGAATGTAGAGTGTCGAAGGATCTTGCCCAGCTTATTGGATGACATTTACACTTCTGGTGAGTGCTATGTGCCGTATACAATCTTTCTAGAAGCAGAGTATAGAGGGCGTTCCTCGAAAGGATAGCTCAAGAACAAATGGCCGTGTGGCTCCTTTAATTTTCTATTACAAAACCAAACTACCAGCCATCCGCTTCTTTGCCTCTTTCTGGTCATACAGTAAACACTGTCGTCTAAGATAACGCGACATCTTGAACAAGATTACTTCACATCACGTATACCAACTGAATATTAGCCACCTTCCTTTATCTGCCAACACCACTGTAGGGACTGGCGCTGCGGAATTTGGGCACTCAGAAACTATCCGTCACCCAGATCCTCTTACATCAAACTTGGCTCCCCATCCAACTTATTACTTAGGCTTCGACCAATTTACGTTTGTTGAAGCAAGCCACGGCCACAAGTGCCACCTAAAAATCTCGAGGCCAACTGGTTGGGAGTGGGTGTCGACAAGCCGGTATCTCTGTGTTCAAAGTGGCAGTTTCATCTGTATACTAGGCCCGCATCTCGTCACAGATGCAATGCATAAGTTTCAAGAGTCGCAGAATTCCTGGGATGTAATGAAACCATTTCATCATGTATCCAGTCTCACTTTGCCGCGACTGACGTGGTGCTCGCGCACTCCGGTCTGTACGTACACAATTTCCTCAAGCGTGCGATAGCCTATCAGGAAAAATCACTTATTATAAGCATAAAGCGCCTGGGAATAGCCAGTTAAAACCCCCAAGGAAGCTATACTGCATGGAGAAGCCTAGATATGCGTTCTAATGATTATCCAAAGGAACGCTCAGAAGGAAAGATCACCGATGAAGGGCACTAGAGGGTTGAAGTCGACTGAATAAACAACTTCTGGAAACATGAGCTGCCCTGAATGGAAATCCAATCTCCTACACGATCAGGGACAAACCCTCAGCCAACTATTCCACTTGAGCTTATGCTTCCATATTGAAAAGGAGTTTAGCATAGATGGAATCAATGTCTAATAGATAGCTCTTCGTCCTAGGCAGGTGAAGATACAGTGGTTAATATCATTGGCCATTTCAGGGATTTATTTAGGCCGCGTCTATTGTCTTAAGATCCCCCCGGGATCGTACATCGCGGAAGGCCCTTGCTACAAGATGACTGACTCTTTTTCTTTACTTTTTTTTCCTATTTACAAACCGAGCTGGGTGTCTGCGCGAGTCTCAGATGAAGGTCTCAAAAAATAATCCTGCTACTTTCTTAGCCAGAAAGCTCTCAGTTGAAACCAACCGATTCCGATCATGGAATTCGAGCTGGGTGGTTGCCAGGTTCACCCGGAAGGTTGCTGTCGGAAGGGGACAAAGCGTCTCTGCCTGGGCGCACACAAATCCAAGTACCTTGTTGACACCGTTGTTGTGGGGCAGGCTGATTACATAAAATCAAATGATTAAACGCTCTTTCCCCTCCCGTCCTCTTCCAATTTTCTTTTTTAAATCTCTCTCAATTCCTCTGTCACTCTGATGAACACGGCACCATCATAATATAACACCATTATTCGCCCCAATATCGCCAAAGTAGAGACTTGCCGTCTCTTGTCTCCCATTTTCCGTCTTCCGAGTACCCTCCCCCAAGCTGTGGCCACTGAAGGCGCTTCTCACCCACTGAGTCTTCCAGTTTGGCTTGTGAGCAAGGTCCCACAATAACCAACGACCCGCAAGCCCCTGATTGGCTGCCGCGCCGTTCATCTCACCTCGTTCTCAGAATGCCATCAGCCGTCACCAGCTGCCACCGCACATGCTAACACTATATGACCACACTTAGATAAATGCCTTTCGGAGATAATCCAGTATAGGTCGAGTGGTTAATGCGCTTGTATTAATCATGAGACGTTCCAGGTTCGAACCCCGGTTCGAGCAATGCTGTCAAAGCGTGGGATTGAGACTAACAGGTGCTGGACCATGTTATCTCCCCGGAGTGAACTCCGGGATGATGAGAAGTAGTAGGCATACCCCGATGCTGTGCGAACTCTTTTTTGGTTCATTTGATTTTTGATTTTTGATTTTTCTTTTTGCTGAAGGTCTCTCCATGATTTCATCGTCGCATTATCTGGGGATCTTCTTGGAGGCCACAGCATGAGTTCCTGCACGCGACGACGGGCCGCCTAGACACCTCGCTCCCACTTCTTTTCCTGTAAGGTTGTTTTTTGTTGCCAGTCGTAAGAAATGGCCGGCCACGTAGATTCATACAGGTGTTATTTTATCCACGAGCATGAACGTCTCGACCGAGCCCGCGTTCGCGCTGCATTCCATCTTTTGTATTCAGGCCTGCCCTGCCACCTACCCAGCATGTCCAACCCATTTATGCCCATGATGCCGTTCATCAATTTCCAGTCGCAATGGGTTACGAGCTCTCCCCAACCATGGGAGGAGTTTTCGCGACACCGTTGGAATGGTTTTCTTTAATGCCCCAACCAATGCATGGAGCGTGTAGTTGACCATTTTCTGCCCCGTACCGTATTCTCGTACTGTTGTTCTTGACCATTCTCTCTCTGCTAATATTACTTAGCATTCCCAAGATATCACTCGCTTATTGCAAGAAAAAAAACATACTTCATATGGAACTCTCCCAGAGATCGCTGCATTTCAAGGTCTCGGACGCAGTAGTATCTGTGGCATCGAGCTCAAGCCTCAAACGTGGTCTTGATCGCAACTTACTAGCCATTCCAAGCAGTGGCTATCGAGCCGATGCTCATTTCCATCATGCTCATACTTTGACAACCTTGGGGGTGCTAAATAAGGTGATGTGGCCGAGTTGCTTCAGAAGTGCAGGCTGGGGATGTATGTCTAAATGTCCTTCTCAGGCTCGGAACCCGACTATTTGAGATCTCATGGTACCTCTCAATACACCTTTTCATCCATTTCATGCCAAAAGAACTCTTACTAACCGACCAAGCGACTGAAATAAAACATTGCACACCAAAGCTCTGTTCACGCAAGTCAGGGACCTCATTTCCTTATGAATGATATCAAACACAATAATAGGAAAATAATTTATATTTATTATTTATTATTTAACTTGTTATTATGGATTATTATTGATTAATTGTTTCGATATTGTGTTAAAATTCAACGTTGGAAGATGACGTGAATCCATTGCTGGGCCCCGTTGGCTTGGCTGTGACTGATTTCCTAGGATCGACCTAGCCATTCAATGATAGCACGAACAAACAGATACGACCGAGATAATTAGAGGTATTATAATTCGGTCTTCATGGTCCAGTTGCCCCGTGAGCTTTACAAAAAAAAAATTAAACTAGCTCGAACCAAAATCGTTTGTTCAGAGCTCTCTTGTTTTATTCTTGCAGATGAAACATGGCATTAGAACAGAAAATCCTGTTCACGAGAGCTTTTCGCTATTAAACACTCTTCACCCTTTGTTTTTTGCTGTATTAGCGAAATGGCTTTAGAGATAACTGGTATCTCTTAATACAGTATGGATCTCAAGACTCACCTACCAAGATAGTGTGTCGAGAGATGCCTTGGCTGAATTTTACCATTGGATGTAACAGGATGAGGTTTGTGTTATCTACTGATGCCTGTACGGCTGACCTATCACTTAATTCCTCGATTATTCTCATCAGCAAGTATCGCCTGCATTGATGGTTGCTAGGTCTCGAATAAGAAGAGACGAGCGTGAGGGTAAGGCGTCCATGATGGAAGCAATAATTGGAGGAGACTGCTTTGACTTCTACCGTTGAAGACTAGAAGATGTATTGTTGGTTTTAGATGGGATGCGTTTGTATTTTGAGCGAATTGGAAGTAAGCCTGGTAATCCATTCATGTTGGGTTTCGCCGAGGACCTTTTTAGTCGACAGACTTGAGGGGATCAGTATTTTGATATCCTAAAACTTCTAGGGACAGGATTGACTTTAATTCAATGGGTCTATTCGCAGAGATGGGATGGTCAGTAGACTTCTACCTACCTGGATTTACGCCTCTGGTACCTTACGTTGCTGTGTACCGGGGCGAAAAGCTCGAACCTTGACATATCTGACTTGAAAAACCGGGCATATTTGTGGTGGTAGCTGTGAGTTCAGGTACTCTCGGATACATTGCGATGGCGGAGCTTGAACCTTGGCTCATCTGCCTCGTCGCAAGCCTGACCTAGGCTTGCTCTCCGTGGGTATATCAGTCGCTCCTCTTCCTTGCGATTTACTACAATCTCTTCCCTCTTTGCCAGCCTTCCTCCTCTCCTCAAGTACTCTCGTGCCGTATGAGCAAGAGGAGCTAGTACATACCTACACTACTAAGTAGAGACTCCATCTCGACAAGCATGGTGACTTCTCACAAATCCCGTCTGCAACGTTATCTCCATTCGTGGTTGCAATTCCGCGATCACTCACACTCAACCTTGAGAAAATTCAAAAACTCAAACATAAGAAAGCTACTTCTCCCAGACGGCTTTCTGTCTTCCCTTCCTACTTACAAAGGTCTTCATGACACGCCCTCCAAACACATTGACATGAGAGAAGAGCAAAGGATTATAGACAGCGTTGATGTCATCATGCTTCAAGTGCGTATGGAGCTTGCGAAAAAGGTCGAACCAAACACAGTTGATCTGGTCACTGTCGAACTCAATATCCGCAGCCTCTGCACTCTGAAGGCCACCCTGGTCGCTCAAACATTGATATATGGAGCGGATAAAGAAAATGCGCATCTCTGGAGAAGAAAATCAAAAGAGCATGTGGAGGCCGTAGTGGCAGTGGCCCACGGAGGCAAAAATGAAGCCTTGATTTGTGTCATTATTGAGATGGCCGTGGCGGAGGCATTCTACTTCCGGACAGCCTCGAAGCCAGGCGATATTAAATTAGGGACACATTTGGAGGAATATCTTTCTGATTGAGTAGGTGTCGCTTCTAAGGCTACAAGCAGGAGCATTTAAACCACTTACCTTCTAGGGCAAGGTGAAATTCTAAATCTAAGGCATCTGCTGCTTGACTCCTGCCTCCCACAATGTTGCTCGTTGTCTTTTTGGTCAAATATTTGGTACTATCTATTTTATACATTTCTCTTTCTCTTGCTCTACGCCTACGTCCCATGGCCAGATACCAGACGATGGCAAACTCAATTCATTCAATGATCTATTCAACAGAAGGACCAATCATAGTGCAGTGGGCATCCATTTCTGGCGAGATGGCAGGGGCAGATCAACATGCTCCAGTGCGGGACTCGGATCGGCACTATTGTGTTGTTGGTTTACACGGATTTGGTTTCATTTACAGACAGGTTAAGCTCGGCTTGTACAAGACAAGACCAATAAGCATTGGAAGGGATCCTGGAGGAGTCGGCCATATTGATGTCTTGGTGGTTGGTCTAGAATTCCCTCCCGAATCGGATTTATGACAGGATGAGCCAGACAGCACTTCAACTAACATGAGTCTAGACTGTCCAAATTCCTGCGGATTTGGCTTACAGGCTCTCTTGGCACTCAGTACTATCGAGACCGACCCCTGTTCAGTCCCACCCAACTTGCATGTTCAGCTGAGCTCCAAGACAGCGCTGAGGTGCACAAAAGCAAAACCACTAGAAACCAGAAAGCCCCTCCCTTTCCTACTTCAGCCGCAGCCGCAGCCGCAGCCGTCGACAGAGAAAACAAACTCGTCGCACGACGCCTGGGGAGTTCTTGTCCCTGAACGATGAGAGCCGTCAGGACAACCGCAAAGGAAGAACCCTGAAGCTCCACGGAGGATCTCAGTGTGGACCATGTCGACTCCGCACATTCTTGGTGGGGATCTCTCCGAACTGGTGCGAGATTCGCGGCTGGATGCCATCTTTGAACGGGGCTGCACCATACACCCCCGGGCTGCGGCAACCCGTCGAGAGAATTACAGCCATGAGAAATGGTTTCCACGCCAAGATCCGGTTGGTAAGGGGGGCATGGGGCTCGTTTACGTCGAGGAGAGGGAGAGAGTAGGATCTCGCCCGGTCTCGTTGCGGGCAGTCAAGAAGATTCAACTTTCGGGGCGCCCGGAGCAGAAAAAGATGATTCGACGAGAGTTGGAAGCTATGTTTAAATTCTCACAGCCCAGGGTCGGTTTCTTTCTCTTTTTTGCTGTGGCTCTTCAAAGTCATACCTGGCTAACCTGGTCTTAAAATGTAGTTCAAGGGTCTCTTCATCCAGCCTTATGGATGGTTTCTTAGTGGGGACTATGTCCACATAGCCATGGAATATTACGAGCTTGGAGACTTGCAAAAATATCTCGATCATCCGTCCAAATGCCCAAATGGCCGGCTGCCCGAGCATGAGGCTGGCAGTATCGCCTCGCAGATTTTGGACGCTCTTTATGTGATGCACCAGCATAACTTTTCCCACTGGGATCTGAAACCTGCAGTAAGTGAAGTCTTCAAATGATAGAATCGACGTGTTGCTTCAATATATACTCATATATTCCTCAGAATCTTCTGATTAAACAACAGCCTCCCAACCCTTGGCTCATCAAGCTTGGTGATTTTGGTATCAGCAAGCGGGGAGAGGCAATCAGCAATTTCACATCGTTGGCTGGGACGATAGACTACATGCCTCCAGAACACCATGGATATAGGTCTCGGTCCGGTGATAATTCCCGAGCCGTTGATATGTGGGCTTTTGGGTACACAATCTTTCGAGTCTTGACTGGCCAAGGCATGTTCCGCGATGGACATGAGCGCCACGCCTTTTTCAGCAACATGTCGCCCTTTCCCGACCATATTCTGCGAAATTTACAGATAAGTGAGGATGGGATCAGTTTCCTTCGGAAGCTGGTCGTTGTTGATCCTGGAGCAAGGATCGACGCAGAAGCGGCATCACGAGACCCATGGATTGAGAAATACGACCAAGAGCAGCACCAGCAAGAAGCTTCTGCTGCTGGAACAAACCATACAAGCCATGATCAATCTAGGGGAAAGCTACCTAATCCGCCCATCGATGTTCATTCTCACCCCTCGTTGACAGAGACCACTCTATATCCCGGCTGTCCCTCGCCATTCCCCAACAGGCTGAGCACTACTGAGAGCCAGCTTTACACGGTATCAAGTCAGTCTACTCGTGCCTCTGCAGCTTGGCCAACAGCTAGCTACACAACTCCTAGCTATCATACAGTTTCTTACAGCACGGTATCAAGCCAGTCTACCCGAGCCTCTGCGGCGTGGCCAACGGCTACTTATACAGCTCCGGGCCATAGTCCAAGTCCCTTAGATGGAGGTGATTACACGATATCAAGTCAGACTACCAGAGCCCTGGCGGAGGGGACAATGGCCACTCATAAAGCTCCTAGTCGTAATCCAAATATTTTGGATGGGAGTAATAAGATGGTATCAAGCGAGTCTACTCAGGCTTTCGCAGCGTCGCCAACGGAAACACGAACAACTACCGGCGATGGTTTAGATTTCCTAGATGAAGGAAATAATATAGTAAGGAAGGATGACGCCGAGCTCTTTTTTGCCGCCGCCTCCAGCCAGCGCAGCTCGAACCGTCCACATTCGGTGTCCATGTCAACTCCCACGACGCAAACGTATTCCCTAAACCCTGGGCATGACACTACGATTTCACGAAGGTCTATCCATGGTCCGTCGGTAAATGCCCCTGATAATTCTCTACCAAGGAGCACGTCATCACCATCTGCAAAGGGACCTCCAGCTTTCACACCTGCCCCCTTAGCTCTCTCACAAGACCTTACAGCGCCCAGCGATCAATACCCCCTTTTCCGGCAGAGCCTCAATCTCAGCCAGCATGAAGATCCATCCAAATCACAAGAACAACCATCTGCAAAAGGACCTCCGGCCTTCACACCTGCCCCCCTAGCTCTCTCACAAGACCTCACAGTGACCAGCGATCAATATCCCCTTTTCCGGCAGAGCCTCAATCTCAGCCAGCACGAATATCCATCCAAATCACAAGGAGAACCACCTACGGATATGCCTGAACATGCACGGTCGGCAGATCTTCCAATTGGTCCCTTGCGCCCTGGAAAAGAGAATGCAGTCCCAACTGATGCAGACCAACTTGATATCTCAGTAAACGACCAATCTGATGTCCCCTATGGGGAGCGCTTACAAAAGGCCTTCGTGATAGAGCAGCTTGAAAAGCTTCGCGTACAAGGCCAATTTGATGAGAAGTGTAAAGAGATAATACATGGCGATTACGAACCCCCAACTATACATGAAAGACTTGAGATTATTAAAGAACTTGAGAGGAAATTAGGCAAGGATCACATAATTGTCATTGATGCACGTTGCGTTATCGCTAAAGAGCAAATCGACGAACAGAGAAATTATTTCGAAGCCGTCAGGACATATCAACGTGCCCTTCTTGTAAAGAAGAAGATGTTTGGGAGCGATGATCCGAGAACCCTACATAGCATGCACGACTTGGGAGATGCGTTGTCGCGTTACTGCAAGTTTGAAGAAGCGGAGCCCATCTGCCGCGAAGCTCTCCAACAGAGAAGGAGAATACTTGGCCCTTCAAACATTGACACCATTGAGAGCTTGGGGGCATTAGCTGCTTGTCTTCAGGGGCAGCAGAACTTCAGCGAGGCCACCCTAATGTTCCAGGAGGTGGTGGAAGTAAGGAAACAGTTTCTTGGACCTACTGATAAGAGAACTGTTGATGCCATGGTCTCTGTGGGCATTTGCCTGAATCAAGAAGGCAGAGTCCACGATGCAGAAGCCATTCTCCGAGAGGCTCTTCAGATTATCAGGAGGGAGCCAGACAGCTACGAAAAGCGAGCGCCAGACGCTGTTCACGTCTTGTGCCTCACTCTGTGCAACCAGAGCCGGGTTGAAGAAGCGGAAAAACTTCTACGAGAAGACTCGGATCAGAGAAACCCTGAATATTTCCGCACTGCGGAGAATTTTTATTGGCTATGTCTGGCCCTCAACTCCCTGGAACATTATCAAGAAGCTCAGCCGATGTGGAAACGCCTGATCAAGATGCTAGAGTGGGATCTCGGTAGGGATAACATAACGTCAATGAGGACTAAACAGGCATATGTCCAGCATCTCATCAAGTTGGGTGATACGAAGAAAGCTTTGAAGAGATCAAGAGAAGTTTTTGAACGCAGGGCGGAAGTACTCGGCACCACTCATCCCGACACTCTTCACACCATGCAATGGCTCGGCCACCTCCTACTTACTGAGGAGGGACCAACAGAGGAAGGACTCCAAGTTTGCCATAATGTCTATCGTTTTACTGAAGAGGCTTGGGGGGCTTACCATCCAAATACTCTCACCACTTCGTTCTGGCTTGGTGATGTACTCATCGGAACCGGTAAAATCAAAGAAGGTCGCGAGATACTAGAAGCGCTTCTCCATAAGCAAGAGCTCACTTTTGGCAAAGCTCACGGGGACGCAATACTGACAAGGGACAGAGTCGCCGCGTCTTTCCTTGATGAGGGTGACAATACCAACGCAGAGCAGTCGTTCAGACGGATCGTCCAGTTGAAGGAAATCGAATTGGGAGTGGATGACCCGGCCACAATCGATGCTGTCTATAACCTTGCGGATTTCCTTGATGAGAGCGGCAAGTTCTACGAAGCAGAAGTTCTCTTCAGGAGAGTCCGGGCGCATAGAGAGAGGAATTTGGGGCAAGATCACCCCGGAACTCTTGTAGCTGTGACTGCACTCGGGCGGGCGCTGTATTCGACAAAGCAGTATGCTGAGGCAGAACAGGTCTTCCGCCTTGCCCTTCATGCCTATGAAAGAAAAGCTGACGATGAGGTCATGCAAGCGGACTTGCAAGAACTTCTGGCGGTGACATTAACATGCCTGATGCGACATTCCGAGGCCGAAAAGCATTACTATTGGGCGTGGTTACTACGAAAGAATGCCGTGGGCGAGAACGACGGGACCACGGTCGACTATATGGTCAAATATGCACTCTACCAAAAGGACTTCCAGCAGAGGGCGGGCGAAGCAGAGACTCTGATACAAGATGCCGTCCGATTGTACAAAGAGCTGCTCGGCGCCGAACACCCGAAGACTCAGGAGACCATTGATACATATGCCCAGATCCTCCTCGAAAATCATAACTATACAAAAGCGATCGAAGTGATCAAAGAGATTAGAAGCTATGAGGATCCATTTTCTGAGGAGTTTTTCACAACCATGCTGAATCTGGGTCACTTGTACAAACTCAATAACCAACTCAGTTTAGCATTCGAAACCTACACGGAGCTTCTTAACTTACAGAAGGCGAGGCTAGGCGATCATGATGCGGCAACGCTGGAGACCTTGCACAGGCTTGCGGAGGTCAGAATGGACCAGGGCGCGTTCATTGAAGCCATGGGCCTCGCAAGCAAAGTTGCCAAACTACGGTCGCAATATCTTACCGATGGCTCCTGGCAGGAGAGCCTAAAGTTGGAGGAGGAATGCAAGGAGCGCCTACTGCGTTGAAGTGGTGCCGAGATTACCTATCTGCCCATACCGTCTTTCGTGAACGACGAACAGTCCAGGACTGTTGGCAATAAGGGTGGAAAGATGGGGCGAATAGTGTGAGGAAACGTGAATGCCCGTCCATCATGAAGAAATGGAAAAATACATAATGACTGTAATTCTATGTAGAATTGGCATATACCTCCTGTAGTACTTCATTTGATTTACCGGCTCCGAACTATTTCATGTCATCAGGGAAAGGTATGACACCGTAGGGTTTAGTTGTAGCCATCTCAAATTTCTGTTTGCGGTCCTCAATGAATTTGGCTTTAAGTTTGTTGCCAACTGACCATAAGAACGCAAACATTTGAGCCTCGCGGCCAGGCTCTGGGCTTCCGTGAAGGCGGAATTCCTCGTGCTCCAGGTGCCAAGTAAATCTTGTAGTGCCTTTAATCGGAATGAGATCCTGCAGACCCAGCATGTAGGCCATTCCTCTTGGGAAGGCTCTAGGACGAGAGAGAAGGAGATAGAACGCCGTCAAGGTGTGAAGATGTTCAAGTACTGTGAGGATCTCGACGATGACTTGTAGAAACAGCGAATCCCCGACGAAGAGCTGGGTGATGTATGGGAACAGGGGAATCATGGGCTCGAAGATATGAGAGGCACCATATTCAAACTCGAAAGTTAACCCCTCGAAGAAATTACGCCAGAGGTCGTTGTCGACATAGAGCACATCAGTCTCCGGGTCGAAGGACTTGACGAAGACCTTTCCTCTCCCGGAGGCGTGAGAGATCTCGAGGCCATGTTTGAGTGCCCAGCGGAGTGTAATCTGTCGAGCTTCGCGGTTCACATCAGCGAACTCGACTTCGACATGGTGCCGTTTGAGCCTCTTATAGTCGAACACGACGCATTCGTTGGGCCCGTCGGGATTGTACGCCTCGTCGGCAGCCGTGAGGTGCTTCTTGCGCCAGAGACCCTTTGTGTAGCGCCTTCCTACCGGTTTTGGATCGATCGGGGGCAATGCGTGAGCCCATATCTGGCAGCGGAGTTCTGCGGGAAGCTCCTGGAAGTGGTGGAATTCCGTAGAGCTGCTGCTGGCAGGTGTTAGAATATAAGACTCAATCATCCTCTGGATTACAACCCTTTTTGGTTCAACAGCAGGCTCTGTCGCTAGGCCAGCCGACATGTTGTACTTCCGATTTGTTTATTTTTAATTTTAACGTCTTGTGCGTGACGAGTAGAAGCCTCTGTATGAGCTCTCAAGGTCGAAGGATAGGAGGGGGAGAGTACCACGTTCATGACTGGATATAAAAGTACAGCATTAACGAGTATTCCCGATTAGACTTCACATGTTTCTTTCGCTCGGGATGCGCAGTGCCATATTGCAACACTATGGTGTTTGAAGGTAATAAATTGCGCAGAAATATCCAATAGGAACTCACTCAACAAAGTTCCAACGCCCAATGGCGAGATCCGAAAGACGCCCAATGCTACTCTTACATCGTCGCACCTGTTCAACGGCCACTCAGCCAGGGACACGTCATTATCAATGCATCTGCCGTGTAACCATCTAGTGAGGCATACGCTGTTGATTGTGATGTATGATTGGGGATGCGTGTTTGATCACTTGTCATGTGTGAGCGAAGTGAGGGGGGAGTTGGGTCAACCAAGCCAGCTGAAAGGAAACATTCCGGGGTCGCATTGGTCACTTATCATAAAAGTAGTGATAGAAACCGGTTTTGCCCGCGAGCGTCGTTTATTGGCGCCTGTAACGGTGGTAATTGGTAATGTAGCAATCCTGCAGCTCTGAGCACATTCTTATGCAAGCAGAAGCAGAAGTGGCGTTCTAATCTAGGGTTATGCTTTTCCTATGCATTATCAGAATGTAATTTCAAGAGAAATAAGATACTTGCATAACCCCTATCTTCACCATACCTAAAACTATTCCATTACTTATTGCAACATTTGGAACTATCCCTAGTTATCCCACCAAGTGGGTGACATTAAAATTGAGATACTCAAATAATAGGCTTATTCTCGGTATTATCAGGTTATTGAGTGCTGGTAATACATACTCGAGAAACAATACGGCATATATTATCTTGAAAGTAGTCTGTTTATCGTCACTCTTCCATTGAGTGTCTCATTTCTCCTGTCACTCACTTTCCTACATTCAATAGTCCTTGTTTCTAAAAGGATCGGACAAGCGCTGATGGAAACAAGCCGAGGTATATTGGTCTATGAAGTCTTCAAGTGATTGCGACAAATCAAATTATTGCTAATCTAAGATAAGGTATATTCTAGCGAAGGTAACGATTTAGGGAAGGAATACACGTATAAGAAGCAAGATCACACCAAGGCTCGCACTAGTCCGTGATGATTCATAGGATTTTCTTCAACTAGCTTTGTTCACTCTCTCCTATGCATAATTTTTGAGTATTACCATCTCTAAAGTGGTCAATTACCCCTTGATCAGGCTGGACCAAAACGCCGTCGCCGTGCCGATGGTGGGGAACCACGAGCTTCATGGAGATCGGGGAATCCGGAGGCTAGTCAATGACGTCCACGAAGCCTTGATTAAGCGAGGAATGTTGGTAGATAAATGGTCATAGAAATAAGGCATTCTCTAAACCTCTCTTTCTGATTTACTGCGTTACTTTTTGTTGCAGGCGGCGTTGTAAAAGTGCACTTGAAGATCATCCAGCTCACGATGCCTTCAACCAACGAGAGTAGACGGCATGTGGTCATCGTCGGGGGCGGCGCTGCAGGAATGGTGAGAAGACTCGAACACATTCAGAAATCGAATACCATGTGCTGATATGAATGAGAATAAAGTCGTGTGCTGCCACTCTTGCGAACCATCCCGAGAAGTTCAAGGTCACGCTGGTAGAGAGGTCGAATGTCGTCGGTGGCCAGGCCACGTCCATTCCACTGGACCCCCAAAAGTACGGGGCATCATGGATGAACAATGGCGTTCAGGGAGGCTCAAAGGTCAGGCTTCCTGTATCGCTAGGATCAACAAAGGTCAAGCTACTGACACGCCCATTCTTAATCTAGATATTCAAACACACGTTCAACTTCTTCGAAAAATATCATCATCCGCCTGAAGAGATCCAGCTACAGGTTTCATTCGGCAAGGGAGAGGATGGATTCTGGACCAACGTGTTTCCAAGCAATTTGGTATCCAAGTACGCCAAGGATATCAAGCGCTTTGGCTTCTTCCTCAAAGTCGTCAAATGGGCTATGCCGGTCCTGGGCCTGATCCCCATCAGCATCATGCTTCGGCTGTTTCTATTCAGCAAGGATTTCGGTGACAAGATGGTCTACCCTCTGATTGCCTTATTCTTGGGCACTGGTAATCAGACTGCCCACGTCCCTTCGGCGATTGTTGAGAGGTTATTTGATGACCCGAACATGAAGCTCTGGGACTATGATCCTCAAACGCTGCTACCTAATTTGCCCACCATGGTAACGTTCGACCACTTACATGAATTCTACCGCAAGTGGCGCGAGGACCTGGAGGCAAGGGGGGTAATCATCAGGACCGAGACAGAAGTCAGAACCGTCCTATCCAGGTCCAAGCACGGCGTCAAGCTTCGAATCCGAAGCGCTGCTACAGGTGAGACAACAGTCGAAGACTTCGACGAGATTGTGTTCTGCACGCTCGCGGACGATGCCCTCACCATCCTCGGGGATTCGGCAACCTGGCGGGAGAAGTTCGTCCTCGGAGGCGCAGCCTTCTACGACGACATCACCGTCACCCACAGCGACACCAAGTACTTTGAGCGCCACTACGAGACCCAGTTCAAGCCGGAACTCTGCGCCGAACCCAAGTCCGACGATCAAAAGAAGCAGATATCGTTCGCAAAGGGCGAGGGCTCCCAGAATGGCTTCTCGCCGATGTACTTCACCTACACGTACCCTTCTGACCCGCGCCTCATCGAGATGTCCTTCAACTGCAGCAACTACCAGCACCAGCTGAGGAAGCCAAACGCCAAAGCGGACGAGGAGTACCAGCCGGTCTACCAGACCATCTTCCTGAACAAGAAGCAGAAGCACCTCTGGACCATCGACGATATCGACGAAGCCAAGATCATCAAGAAGAACTGGTGGCACCAGCTCGGCCACCGCTGGCAGCACTACCTTCGCGTGGTCCCGGGCATGATGTTCCTCCACGGACGCAATAGCACGCACTTCGCCGGATCGTGGACTCTTGTGGCAAGTTTTCTTTTCCTCCAACGTCTAGCCATGCCAGCTAACCGACTGTTACTTACAGAACATGCATGAACTGGCTTGTGTCAGCGGGATTGCCGCGGCATACCATCTTGGGGCGGACTACGTCAAGTTCGACGAGTTTGCTGAGGATTTCTTTGCAAAATACCTGTTACTCTCTCATGGCATGGTTTACTCTCGGCAGGAAAAGAAGAGGGCCAAGCGAAGCACATAAGTAAGGGAATCAACACGGAAAGGAACCAAGTTCAGCATATATGCAACGCCCATTTAGAAAATTACATGCTATATATAATATATACTTATCATTCATACCAATTCTATGACAAAATAGTAATTGCATTCATCACAGGTGAGCGGTAAGCAGTATGAGAAATCTCTCTCGATGCCATGTAAATCGCCCGGAATTATCTGTAGCTCTGATGTTCATGGCCAAATCTGGCAAGGATAATGTCTAATATCATGCTTCTGGGGGTGCCCATCCATCCAGCGCTGAACGCCAATTCGCTGCCACCATGACCAAGACGTACCTATACGAGGGTATCATGAAAACCAGCCCAAAAGCAGATGCCAAAACCCCCATAAAATCCACACATCAGGGATTATCATCCAAATCCAAATGCTCCCAAAACATTAAAGTCAGATATGAAACGGTGAACTTTCAAGAGCTATTCACCTCAGTCAAGTAAGAGTGTCGAGAGGAATACCCCCACAGCAAAGAAGATGTAGGTTGCTGACCTCCAATTTAAGATTATACCAAGTCTTAGACTGCTACTAATATCAAGAGTTCTCCGAGATGCAAGTCCACAAAGCTTAGACGCTCGAGATTGTTTCCCATTTGGCCAAGATATAAGCCAGCGCACAATCAGTGACACAGAACCACCTTGAATTGTTGTCAAGATGTGAGGTCATGATCAAAAACAGTATTATTGTGTAAACAGACGGCGTTCCGTCGAAGGCGAATCAACCGCGTTATCGAGCTTCAAAATTCGACGAAGATCGTTTTCCATTGCTTGAATAGTATGGGTCTGGTGCCCAGCATGCGGTGAGTTGTTGACGGGAGCTGGTCGGGGAGAAAATCCACCATGCGGATGAGCTGGCGCGGGAGGAGTTCCCCCAAGTGGAGAGGGGTTGGTTGGAGATGCCATATGTCCACCGAAGAGGAATTTTTTCAGTGCTTCGGTAGGGTCTTCGATGGGTTCATTCGACGACAAAGCTTGATGCTGGATAGGTGCAGGACGGTTCGGTCCCGATCGAGCAGCCTTAATCCGATCTTGGTAGGGTGTTGAAAAAGCTGGCCCAAAAGGCTGTCCAGATGTGCCATTCAGCTCATCATAATCAATTCCATGGGAGGCTCGGTTGGTGGGAGTTGAGCGAGTGGGTAGCTGAGAGGATGTCTTAGGAACCAATGGGGAAGAAAACGAGGGTGAGGTAGCAGTATTGAACACATTGGGACTCTGCCCGTGACGCTCTCTCTCCTTCTCCTGACGATGAGCGCGAAACATGAAATCCAAAGGCGATTCGCTCGTCTTGGCAGCAGGAGATGGGCGATGAGGAGTGGGGAGTTCGTTATCAGTAGTAGGAGGCGAAGGCTGTTGCTGAACAAATGGCAGCTCCTCTTCTTTCGCTACCGGCGAGTCTCTAGGAGGCTTTGCCAGGAAGCTCGGAATTGGCAGTGCAGAAGGCGCCGGGGAAGCGTGGAAGGTAGCTCCAGCGAAGGCCGGCTTGAGTGAAGCCGGTCGCTGAGGGGTTGTATGGCTAGGATGGTCTGGCTCTGGCGAGGTGGTGGTTCCCGCATTCTTCTGCCTGGCCGTCTTGATCTTCATCCGCTGTTTGGCACTGGTGGCTTGGTTCGATTTGGGGCCGGGAGACGTATAACTTGTCTTGCTTGGGGTTTGAGGCGCGACCCCATAATGCGACGCCTCAAAGGCAGCAGCATCATTCTCAGAAGCGTAG